TTATGTCTATACATATTTCCCAATATTATTTACATTTTCCATATCTCATAATACCTCAAAAATATACTATTAACTATTTTGTAACATTGAATGTGAAATGCGAAAAATAACAATGTATAAAGAATGCTTTTCTAATTTGTTGAAATTTTGTTTTGTAATTTTCGAGATTTCGTATTACGCGGGTTACAAGTGCACAGTTTTAATATTTAACCAAGAATATAAATATTTGTTATTGACATTTGTTAAATACCTGCAATTCCACTTGCGAATGAATGTTTGTAGATCCAACTGGATCTTCAGCTTCGTAGTCGCTATCGTAGGAGGAGTCGTCAGCATCAGCAATGTTTTCGGTTTCCAAAACGGTGCAGTCCACGTATTTCTAAAATTAAAGTCTGACTGATGTAAACAAAATTAATTATAATTATTTCTAATGACCTAGCACAAATTTTACAAAACGTAATCTGTGCATATTCTTTAGAAAATTGTAATTTATGTTCGTCATTTTAATTATAGGTTACAAAATTAACTATTGATCATTGCATGGCATGTTTTTATATACGATATTACATATTTCCATGTTACTTTGTCCAATAAATTGTGTATAACAAATCGTATATAAAATAATCTTTTTTTTTTATGTTGATAACCTTATTAATATTCTTGCATAGTTCTATTTCAAATATAACGATATAGACACAAGAAAGGAACATTGCAAAAGAAAAAATGGGCGAAAATAAAATCTTGAAATACATGTAAAATTAATAATATTAGCAATAAAATGAAGTTTATTTGTATAAATAAAGTTATTTCATCTCTCCATATTTATACTTGCTTGTATAATATCAGAAGCTTAAATAACATAATAAGTAAGCACAAACAGAGTATAGCTCTTTAAGGATTCCGGATATGACTGTTAGCAAAGAATCAGGTGAAAGTAAAGAGACGCAACAAATACTGTTCGCTTCTGCGTATTAAAAAAGCTGGTATATTAAAACACTACATAAATATAGGAGGAACATGTCGCAAAAATCGTGACACGAGTAATTAGACATAATAATATTCTATATTTGAATAATAATTATAAACACGGGTTTGTTGAAAGCAGATGCCTAAAATGATCGTGTATAGCAGTAAGAAAACCACTAGAAAGTAACACAATAAAAACAAAACTGAAATAAACAAGAGAACGAAAAAAGACTAAAGAAATGGGAAATGCACTGTAAATTTTGTACAGAAATAGGTATATAAAAGAATCGTCGATTCCAAATGTTAGTTTTTCGTAGTGTGCATATTATGAAATATAATTACAAAGCACAATTTTAAAAAACCACAAAAATTCAAACTTCTACAAAAACTTACCGACTTGAACAAAAGTTCAAATGCACAAAATTTATTTCAGATCCCCTAATTCACAAATACCGGGTAGCTGAAATGTCACCGACGCGTTTAAAAATATAACTTTTTTGTTTTCAGTATTTTTAAATCTTTGTTTTATTTTTTGTGCCATCAAAAAGAGAGCGTTCATTTAGGTGACGTCATTTCTCGCATTTAATGAAAAAAATCTCAATACATAAAACTTTTAATAAACACATTTTAATTTTTTCTCTTTTCTATCTACGACTTATAAAAAAAAACGAAAGTGTCAGGGATTGTCGCGCCACCCTCTACTTTTCAACTATGCCCTGCCAAATATTCTTTAGAGCGTATGAATTTCTTATGAACAAAAACTAGTTTTTCGTTTCTATTAAATCTCTTCTTTGGTCCTTTCTATCTTTCTTATGATTAGTTTAACCTATAACTATTAGCTGAAGTATCGTAAAAGTATGATTTGTGTAAGTAGCTCTATGAATCGTCAAACTCTTTTTTCTTGAAAAAGAAAACACACAATATACAATTTTATTCTATACATTCAATTTCTTTTTGTACAAAGAATCACTCCATGTCAGGTTGTAAACACTTCCACGTCCATCCTGTACATGCGGCGAAATATCGAAAGAATTTAATGATATAAACGAAATATTTAAAAGAATTGTAAATAAAAGTATAGTACAATTCGATTTGTGTGTATTACAAGTATGGATCAAATTTTTCAAATGAATCTTTCAAGTGAAAAATGGTAGCTATTACAGAAAACAAAACTTTAACTGTTCAGTAAGGAAATTACTATGCTAGCTAATATTCCTAAACCTGAATATACATTACATCAGAGAATTCTTTGAAAATAAAAAAAGATCTCAAATTTCAAATATAAATTAAAACTTATTGAAATTTCTAAAATAATATTAATTAAGTTACCATATGGATATCCAATGTTTCAAAATTTAATGAATTTGGCATAAAGATAACAGAATTATTTGCAAATAATTATTCATGATATTGCATGTTTTCCTATATGAAATTTTAATCTATGGGGCAATTCTAATCTACCAGAGGGGGCACACAAGTGAAGACATAAGGATATTAAAGGTTATAGATGACATATTTTAAAGAAGTTATAATCAAAGATGTATTTACAAGATTACTGGTGATTCTTGATATCCATATAACTAATTTAAAGATTCTAACAAAGAAAAAAACAAAAAGTTTCTAAAAAAATTATTGTAATGTTAAGCATTATTGACAATAATGCATTGTGCATAGCAACAATTGTTTTACATTGTGCAATGTATCAAGTGATATTTTACCACATTCAGCGATAATACGTTCCTTCATATTAGCTATTGTAGTCTGAGCTTTTGCATACATTAGTAAGACAGTGACAGTAATTTATTTGTTTATATATAGTAAACAAAAATGAAGCACAAATTTTAGAAAAGATGAGTTCAAATTATTGAGAGAAAGTAAACTATATGAGTTGCATTCATAATAAATAATATTTAATTTCATATTTTTGTATTACTTTCTGCAAGTAGCAAATAGTCACTAAAACATTATGATATATACTAGAAATTTATGCACATATTAAAAACACAACATTGTAAATAATTACGTACTCAATAATACTTCTGCTTATATTTCATTCAAATTATGGTGTATATACTATGATTTCTGAACAACAAAGAACGTGTGTGTGTGTGTGTAGATAGATAGATAGATAGATAGATAGTTCCTTATCTATTAAAAAAGAAATATATACTGGTCATTTTAATTGTATACTTGTATACCAATTCAAGTTGAAACATTTACTCAAACATTTGTAGAAAATTGCACATTAGCTTCTATATACAGACTAAATAAATTATAATCAAAGGAAACAATGTGAAAATAATCATCATGTTTATATAGCTTTGAAAGAAGTTAGTGAAAATTAAAAACTATAATTTTGCAATTTGTTTGCTGCTTCAATAAATGCTGCTTAAGTCATTATATTGCATTTAAATATAAGTATTTACATAAAATATAAGGCAAACGTATATATTATATGTAATGTAAATGAAAAGAAAATGTTAGTAATAGGAATACATGCACTGTTAAATAACCAATAATGAATAAATAAAGTAATTTTTCAATACTTTTAATACTTGATCACTTATTATATAATACTCAGCAACTCAGCATAAAAATAATGAATCAACAATATAAACAAAACAAATATTTTTTTTACTTTTTCCGAAAATGAAACTTAATTAATGAAATTTTAATAAAATTGTAACAAACATATTTTTTAGAATTCCTCCAATCAATAAAAATGATCGAAACTGTAATTACTAATCTGATTTGAATTGATACTTTCAAAAGTATACAAAAACAAATGTAGAAATCATGAACGATATTTTTCTTATATTATAGTTCCTGTTTTTTTTTTTTTGTTAAAAATATATCTAACTGTGTCTAAGGCCAAGTTGTAAAATTAAAAAATGGGAAAGATTTATAAAAACAACTTACCTTTCCGGCGACGGTCATATCTCCTTCCAGGAATCGTAATCGATGGAATCCTTTCGCGTCCAAAGACCTTCTCGAATCCGTACAAACACTATTATGTACACAAATCATACACACAAGGGCGCGTGCGCACACCTAATGGAAAGACACGAAGGGAAGAAAGATAGAAAGAATAAGTAACTTTCACAAATACATTTCAGACGTCGATTGAAATTAGTGTTAATACGGAGATAATATTTCTAATAAGGATAACAGGAATTTCTAATAATTTGTAGAAAAGTACTTTAATATAAAAAGAAAATAGAAAAGTCTAAACACGCTTCCGGGATATTCCGTTAGATCCTGGAACGGTATCGATATGCAGAAGAAAGCAGGACAGACTCACAACTACTCACACCGACGGCTGGTCAGTGAATGGAGCAAGCGAGAGCTACGACGTCATTACCCCCACTGCTGCCTATGGTGTCTAAGCAATGTCGTCACATGTAGTGATGGCCGCGAACGAAACAAAACATCAATCAGTTACAAACGAATGAATAATGTATACGAGTAATGTATATATTCCGTAGTGCTAGGTTACAACTAGAGTTTAATTGCACCAATTTTTAAACATTTACTATTTTCATTTATTAGAAAACATGCAGCTTTAAACACTGCATTGTTTTAAAGCTTAACTTTACAATTTTTAACGTATATATTATAAATGTTAACATAACAAAATAGTTCCTATTTAACATACATATATATCAAACATTTAAAATATAACAATTATATAATAAATAATAACATATTTCTACTTTATTTATTGGTTTATCTGTTTATTCACATTACCTTCAATGAGTAGTTAGCAATGTAAACAAATTTATTACTATAAACTTCAGAATTATAAAATTTCTTTGAATAAATGTTAATTAAAAGGATTATACTATAGTCAAAGAAACGAGTTATAAGCCCTAAGGCTATACAATATTCATTGAAAACTAATGAAAAAATTCTATTTAGTTTTTGTGTTAAAATTTTTAATATGCTTAAAGTTGTGGATACCATATAATAAATGGATAGGAAGTGCATAAAGTATCTACTTTAATAATATCAATAAAACAGCTTAATAACATGTATCACAGCTATATTTTAACATTTATAACTCATAAAAGCATTGTTTTCAGTACACATGTCATTTACAACTTTTCT